TAGAAAGAGTAAAAATACTAGTGATGCTCTCTTCGCTATGAATAAATATATTTCGGAGTGTATTAACGGAAATGAAAAAGCATTGACTGTGTTCATTGACCTTGCAAAGGCATTTGATTCCATTGATAGAAATATTCTTTTAAATAAAATGGAATGCATCGGAATTCGTGGTTTGGCCCTAAAATGGTTTAGTAGTTATTTGAATAAACGAAGCCAGTTAGTTTCTATTAACAACAATTTTAGCGATATACGTGAAATAGACTATGGAGTTGTCCAGGGCAGTACGCTGGGACCATCCCTTTTTTTGATTTACATAAATAATTTAGACAAACTTCCAATCACAGGAAAGCTCTTTTTATTTGCCGACGACACTGCAGTTATATTCAAAGGTAATACTTGGGACCAAACATTCAATGTAGCACAAACAGATATGTTCCTTATTCAAAAATGGTTCTCCCAAAATGTATTATCAATGAATGTTTTAAAAACAAAATTTATGCCAATTTTCCTCAGACAAAGTAGTGAGCCTCCCACCAACCTCAGACTTGTGATGCATGTTTGTGGAGATCCAGGTGTCTCTACCTGTGGTTGTTTACATTTAGAGAGAGTAGATCATTACAAGTACTTGGGAGTGATATTGGATAGTAGGTTAAGATGGGAACCCCATATTGAATATTTAAAAACAAAACTTAGGAAATTAATTTATGTTTTTAGAAACGTTCGCGAAATTCTTAACATTAATGAAATAAAAAAGTTATACTATGCATTTGTCCAATCAGTACTTCAATATGGAATTATAGTATGGGGAGGAGCTAGTAGCAATATTTTAAAGCCTCTGTTTGTCATACAAAAACTAATTATTAAAATAGCTTTTCAATTCAACAGGCGTTTCCCTACAAATGTATTATTCAAAAACACTCAATTACTTTCGGTGCGTCAACTTTTTATCAAAACTTTACTTGTATATACCTACTCTAATCAAGATTTGATAGTGACGCCAATCACACATAACTATTCCACCAGAGGAGCTGTAAATGTAGGTATGCAGGTACCCCGAGTTTTCAAGTCTGCAAACCTTACTAATGCTTTTTATATTGCGAATTTTTTGTATAGGAATATACCATCAGAGATTAGAAATCTACAGGTATCTCTTCCAGTTTATAAACGTTCGGTAAGCAGTTGGCTGTCGGATATTGGGCTCGATCAGTCTGAGACACTTATCGGTTCAGTATACATGACCTAAAATAATTATACACCAAACAATATTTAGCGTACAGATATCAGTAACTGCAACCCCATTCAATCGACTACCTTTTATTTAGCATTAACTGTTCCTGTAGCTGTCTCATAGCTTAGTTGTAAATAGTATTTTGATTAATTTAGTTTTAATTTTTAAGAATATTTCTAATTTGTAATAGAGCTCGTCCCGCGCACAGGTCTTTTACGGCCTATGCGGGACTATTGTTCGTATTTTGTATATGTATATATTGTAAAAATTTTTGGAAATAAAGCAGATTTTGATTTTGATTTATTCGAACGAGTTTGCGATCCAGCATAATCGGACCATGGGAACAGGGGTTTATGGGGGGTTTTATGGGGCAAAAATGGGTTTTTCACATTTTTGACCTTAAAAACAAAAAAATGTTCAATTTCTTTCTAAACCGTTTTGTAGAGCTTATCTTATCTTATCTGACAGGGGCAGGTCGAGACCTTAAAGCACTTCATCCGAAATCGAATTATTGCGCACCCCAGATACTTAATTGCTTTCTTGTTGACCTACAAGTTGAGGCGCCCAATGAATGCCTGTAGCTTCCCAATTAGTTCATCCTCAGGAAGAAATCTACCTCTAGCCATATTTCCAAGAGTTATCGATCTAGCGTCAGAGAGCTCAATACAATCAAAGAGTAAGTGATCAGCTGTCTCTTCTGACCTATCACAGTACCTACAGATCGGTTCACCATCATATAAGCCCATCCGTTGTAGATGTTTCCTGAATCTTCCATGACCAGTTATCAGTTCAACAATTAATTTAATTCTTCGTCTGTCTAGTCTCAAGAGGTCACAGGCAACCTTTTTGGAAGGCCTAAACAGAGTAAGCTTGCTGACCCTAAGAAGGGGAACATCGACCCAGCGTTTGCGATGCTTTTCCTTGGCCCATGACGCAATCGCAGAACATACACTGTTTCGTGAGATGCCACAGAAGGGTTGCGGGCCTAACAATGATGTCGCAGAGGCAGTATTTGCCAATCTGTCTGCAGCTTCATTTCCTTCAATGCCTGAGTGTCCTGGTACCCAGCAAAGCGTAAGGTCATTTCTCCTACCCAACTCAGACACAGAAGCAAGACAATCCCACACGAGCCTGGAGTTGAATTCGTAAGAGTTTAATGCTTTTAAGGTCGCTTGACTATCAGTAAAGATATTGATTGTTTTGTCTCTGATATCTTTGTTAAGATGTTCTTGAGCACAAACTAGAATGGCAGTGACCTCCGCTTGAAAGACAGTTGGGTACACCCCCATTGGAAGACAAATACCAGTGCCTCCATTCATCCAATGCACACCTGCTCCAGTGCCCCCATTTTTGATCTTAGAACCATCAGTATAGCATTCTAAGTCACCTGTGGGTATGAGTCCTTTTCCGCCAGACCAATCCTTCCTATCTGGTATTAGTACTTTGAAAGGCTTTCCAAAGGAGTATTTTTTGGACATGTGATCTGAAGGTAAGTCCAATTCATCATTATGTACCACCTGAACAATTTTAGAGTGCCCTTTATTGTTCCCTGAGGCTATCCATAAGTTTTCGCATCTAAGGCGTTGGGCTGTTTTACTTGCTACCACCTTAATATAAATGTCAATAGGTAGCATGTCAAGCAGACAGTCAAGTGCCGCTCCAGGACAGCTACTTACTGCCCCAGTTATCATAATAAGAGCAAGCCTCTGAACTCCTGCTAAAGCTTTGACAGCTATAGTTGATTCCATCTTTGGCCACCACACAAGCGAACCATATGTAAGGGCGGGTCGAACAACAGATACATACAGCCAGTGCATAAGTTTAGGCTGTAACCCCCATGTGCCACTTACCATCCGCCTGCATGCCATAAGGGACCATTTGCCACGCTCAATGACTTTTTGAAGGTGTGGTCCCCAGTGAAGTGATCTGTCCAAAATTACACCAAGATACTTCACCTGATTCTGCAGCTCTATTACAGTACCCTGCAGTCTTAGTGGGCCGATCCCGTCCAGTTTCCTCCTTCTTGTGAAGGGTACCATTACAACTTTCCTGGGATTTATAGAGAGCCCAACATCCTGGCACCAACGGTCCACTACCCTTAAAGCTCTATTCATAAGGTCAGTTATGGTTCCGTGGAACTTTCCAACCACAAGGATTGCAACATCATCAGCATAACCTAAGGCGAAAACCCCACTTTCGTTGAGGGTCCTTATAAGGTCGTCTGCTACCAAATTCCAAAGTAGAGGAGAGAGAACCCCCCCCTGAGGACATCCTCGAGTAGTTCTTGCCTCGATCGTATCATTGTGGAGTGAGAGCCTAACCTTCCTACTGAGAAGCAAGGATTCAATCCATCTACATATTATACCGTGAAAACCTCTTGCTCTCACCGCATTAAGAATCGCTGGAGTACCAGTATTGTCAAAAGCACCTTGAATATCGAGAAAGGCACCCAGGGCCACTTCACCGCTCTCTAGAGCTTTCTCAATCTTGCTTACAAGTTGGTGCAACGCAGTCTCGCATGATCTTCCTGAGACATACGCATGCTGATTAATATGTAAAGGATGTGTCCTAAGAGCTGTATCCATCATATATCTTGAGACCAACTTCTCTAGGATCTTAAGAAAGAAAGAAGATAGAGAAATGGGTCTGAATGACTTAGGGTCAGTGTAACTATCCCTTCCTGGTTTAGGAATAAATGCGATACGCGAATTACACCACCCTAAGGGAATGTGTCCTAACGCTAAGCTGGCTCTGAAAAGTTTACAGAGTGGGTGTATAATTGTATCAAGACCCTCCTGCAAACAAACAGGTCTTACCTCATCAGGACCCGGCGATTTGAAGGGTCGTAATAAGCCAACAGCCCATCTTACCTTGCTGAAGGTGACTATGCGGCAAGCAGTGCTCCACATAGAATGAGTGGCACGACGGCCCAGGTTAGGCCGCTCTGGACTCACCTCCTCCTGCTGCACTTCAGAAACAATACAACCAGGGAAATGAGTTTTTACCATAACCTTTAGTATTTCGGTAGGTTCAAAAGCCATTACACCATCCGGTCCCTCAACGGCACCCAAAGTAACATGCCTGTCTCTAACAAGTACCTTATGTATTCTAGAAGTATCCTTGATACTCTCTAAATTTCCACAAAAATTTTTCCATGAGAGCCTTTTGGCCTTTGTAGAGCTTAAAAAAACAAATAATTTAGTATATTGAAGCGCTGTTGTATGCCTAACTGTCACGGGGAAAATTCAAAAATAGTGTAATTTAAAATTCCCATGTTATTCTTATATGGAGAAAATAAAAATGGTTGTAGGCCTACTTTACTTGTTTATTGATATATATTGATAACATTATGCAAATTTATTTATTTCATTCTATACTATTGACGTATGGTCAAAAAACACTTTTACCTTCCCCGAAGCAGCAAACCTAAGCACTCGTTAAATCGAATGTTATTTAAATAGGGAATAAATAACCTCATGTCTTATTTATGGAAATATTTTAGTAGAAATATAATCAGACAAGTTGAAATTCGCTTAGTCTGCAGGTTTACTGCGGCGGGGGTATTTTTTTTTTTTTTTAGTTGACGGCCCCTTGTAGTGGCTTTTACAGGTTTGTCTTGAGTTTGTTACCTTTTTACATTGCTTGCTTAGTTAATGACAACTTTCCAACAGAAACACAATTAAATAGCCCATTTAAGTTATGAGAAACTACACTGTATACTGATTGTGAGTGATAAGTTAGCAGGAGTGTACTGAAGTGATGTGTTCTCCAGGACATCCCACGTTCCACTCAAGAGAGCGTCCAGCAAATACATACTCAAGTCGTCGCTGAGGTCGGAGAGAGTGGCCTGGAAGCGCAAAGCCTTGTCTTGTCCATCATCACCCGAGCTGAGGCAGCGATCTAGAGCGGCAATGAGAGATCGCAGAATGCAACAGGTTGGAACCGGAAATAAATATTATAGTATCTTTTGTCATTGCAATTTTAGGAATTATCATAAAGCAGGCATAAGTTACCATTATATTATTATAATATTAATCTTATCATTTTTAAATTTTTGTAATCTATCCACTTTTTTCAGAAAAATGTTGCCTTCGACCTTGCTGTTGGCGACTACACGAGTGATAAGAAAGTAAAGCGTAGGCTAATGCAGAGACGTCAGGCCTTTGCTGGTATTCACATGACAAATCATGAAATGGCACACTGGATTGATAGGCGAAGTCGAATCATCTTCCCAACAGCTTTTCTGGTTTTCAATTTGCTATTTTGGTTTATCATGTTCGTTTAATAAATTAATTTGATACATTGTGTTTTGTTTTTTACATGTGGATTCCTTGTGATAATTTTCTAATTAAGAGTTGTTATAATGAGTGGTATAATTCTCAAAAAATTTAGACTAGTCACCGTGTGGAATGAGGTCCCATATAGCAAACACATCTTAAGGTGTGCTTGTCCAGTTATGTTAAAGGATCACATTAAGGAACCTGAAACAAATCCTTCAACCAATTTTACATTGAGGCACAGCAAATGCACAACTTTCAGCATAATTTTATTGACTATCATGTGGCACGATGCCTTATATACTGCCCGATTGGTGCAAGGAAATAAATTCATGAAGTGATTCATAACTTCTCAATTGTTCTACATCATTCTGTATGAGACCACTAAACAGATTTACACAAAGTTCAAGCTCTAGTCTAGGCTTAACCTCCACATGCATACTGTAAATGAATAAACCCTCGTAGTTATTTAAATATGGGTATTTCAGGAGAGCTTGAAGGTCCCAAACATAATGTAAATACTTTGCTCGAAATTATTTCCATTATGTGATGGTGACACGCTAGCCATAGAAGTTCTTTGTTTAACTTATTTTTAATGAAAGTGCATGCACCATTCTTGACGCCAGTATTGACAGCTGTTGTGTCAAAGCCCATACCAATCACTTTGTCATCAAGATCCCATGTTTTAAGAGTTTTAAGTACTGCATTTCCAGTGTTAGCACCTGTTCCCTGAACAGTTTTGGAACTCCCAGTAGTTTCTCATTTCCACCAGCATAGGAAACTAGGACTGGTAGTCAATCATATCAACCTTTTGTGTACCTAAAATTTCGGGCAAGATTTTGCTGTCCCAATGAACTACAATTGGTGCTTTGATGTCTATGTTTGATTTCATCTCTGTTGAAAAATTCTGCCTTGCTGCTTTTCGTTTTCTTTTTACAGAACTTCTTGAAAGTGGCAATGCTGCAGGATCATGCCCAAGTGCAGCGGCAATAGGAATAATTATCCTCACAGCTTCACGATCGTAAATTTTTGTCTGTCTAAAGTCCCTGCCACATTCATGTCAAAAAGGCTCTTCTTAGCCTTTGGTTCAAAAACATCTTCATCTTCACTCTTGCCAACTAAAACTTGTGCTAACTTTTTTTTTGTCGAAAGGTTTATATAATTCATCATCAGAACCATTTTCTGAACTACTTTCGGCAACTGGGTTCTCATTTAAGTCATCATCGGGTGGATCAATAGAAGAGGATGTGGATTCGGCAGCAGAAAAAGAACTTTTTCTTCTTATCTCTTCTTTTGGAAATCTTTCTAGTGATCTTTCTTGTTTTAGCGAATTTCCCATATAGGGAATAAGCTATTACCGTAGTACTCATGGTAAGACCTGGACGCGGGACCAATTTTTTTTTTTGTTTTGAGGTCCCTAGAGGCCAAAAACACTATCCGTTCAAATTCATATATATATATATATATATATTTATATATTTATATATTTATATATATATATATATATGTGTCCGTTAGCACGATAACTCGAGCAAAAATGATCCGATTTTGATGAAATTTGGTACAAACGTGTAAACCTACGTTTATTCGAACGAGTTCGCGATCCAGCTTGATCGGACCATGGGAACGGGGTTTTATGGGGTAAAAATAGGTTTTCCCCGTTTTTGACCCAAAAAACATAAAATTTAGCAATTTCTTTCTAAATCACTTTGTAGAGCTTAAAAAAACCAAATAATTTAGTATATTGAAGCGTTATTATGCGCGTAATGGTTACGGAGAAAATTCAAAAAAATTGTAGATTTAAAATTCCCATGTTATTCTTATGGAGAATAAGTAAACTGTTGTAGTTTGCTTGTTTATGAACATATTTATGAACATATTTGAACATATTCAGCAAGGAATATGATATTTTGATAATAAGTTGACTAACTATTAACATTTTACAAAAAAAAACAGTTTTACCCTCCCTGATGCAGCAAACCTAAGTATATGTTAAACTAATTCTATTTATATAGGGAATTAATGTTATATTTTTAAGTAGACATTTCAGTGTAAGTCCAATCAGTCAAATGGAAATTCGCTTAGTCTGCAGGTTTGCTGCGGCGGGGGTATTTTAGTATACTCCTTGTCTTGAGATGAAATGATAATTTTTCTCTCAGTTCTTTGGTCAGTTAAGAAATCTTTGTCTTGTTGTATTTTCATGAGGATTAGACCATCTGGATGAGCAATATCAAACAATTTTTCTATTTTTTCTACAAATAATAAGTAAGAAGTGCTTGTTTTTTCTTTGTTTTTCAGTTCTTCTGCCTTTATTTTTCTTTAGAAGTAACCACTGTGAATGCACACTTTCGAGTTTTTCAATCGAATCCTTGGTATACTTAGTCGGGATTAGGGCTGCTTCAAACTTCATTCAATTCTTCAATTGTGCTATGACTAGCGTTTCTGACAGATTTTTTTCACTTAGAAAGAAATGAAATCTTAATAATACTTCTTTTGTTGTAGGAAGTTGGTTCTTCTTAGTTAAAGGTTCTAAGTCCTTGACACCAATTAAGTAAACACTATCCGCCTGACGCGTCTTAAGCGCAGTCATATTTTGAATGACTCAGGTTTCAAACTTTTGATCAAATCACACTGTCAAAAAAGGAACTAGACACTTTTACTAGGCCCGTTATTTATTTAAGTTTCTATTGATGAATACACTGAGCTTCCCAAGTTAAATATTGCAGTTCAAATAACCTGAAACAAAAGAAAACCAAAAAGCGTTAAAAACCCAAAAGTCGGTATTATTTCAAGTTATATACCTCCTTTGTAATCTGATACCTTTATGCTGAAAATGTTTAGTATCAACTGTATTAGGGTGATCATTCAATAGCTTTGTTAACTTCTGAATCCTGGAAATAAAACAAAAGAATTTTTTGTTAGTTTCAGTGTTTTATTGAAATTTTCAAAAACTAAAAGTTGTTGAGCAATGCCTTCCTTATGTCTTAGGGTACTAAGATTTTGCATAGATTATTCTATTATTAGATGTAGCAAAATGGGAGGGTCCCTAGGTCTCTAAAAAAAACTTGAGTTCTTTGGACCACCCTAACGAGGGTTCAAATTTTAAAAAACTGCCCTAATCTCAGAGTGTTTTACTGTTTATATATTTTTAGTATCAGAAAAGGTAAGTATACTGTACCGGTATGGATCAATTGGTTCAACTACTGAACTGATGATGAAAGTGAAAGTTTACAATCTAGTCTAAGAGGTGACTGGGGGTGAGGGACCAAGCTCAGCTCAAATCCAAGGGGGAAATCCATAGAAGCACTGCCTGTAAATAGAGTGTTACATTTATGATAACATATTCCAAGCGCTGCCACCTTAAACTCCAGGGGCCCATTTCATAATAAACTACAAGTTACCACTTGTAACTTGTAATTACCATTAGATTTCCATCGGGAGATCACTGATTTACTAATAATATTAGTTTGTACTATGAAATGGGCCCAGGACGTGCCTTATACAATAAACAAATACGTCTTAGGCTGCGGCCACACGGGCGTTTTTTTCACGCACAAACGCAGCGTGAAAACACGCAAAAAATTAGAGTAGCATTGAAACAAATAGGCACCCGCTACTGCGGGAAAACCTCATTACATTTAATGCTGCTTATATTTCTCGCGGTTTTTCATGCTGCGTTCTTGCGTGAAAAAACGCCCGTGTGGCCGTAGCCTTAGAAGTGGCAACGGGAACACTGTCAGTAGTGCTGTGTTACAGCTGTTTTTTTAGCGAATTTCCCATATAGGGAATAAGCTATTACCGTAGTACTCATGGTAAGACCTGGACGCGGGACCGATTTTTTGTTTTGTTTTGAGGTCCCTAGAGGCCAAAAACACCATCCGTTCAAATTCATATATATATATATATATATATATATATATATATTTATATATTTATATATATATATATATATACATATATATTTATATATTTATATATATATATATATATATATATATGTGTCCGTCAGCACGATAACTCGAGCAAAAATGATCCGATTTTGATGAAATTTGGTACAAATGTGTAAACGTACGTTTATTCAAACGAGTTCGTGATCCAGCATGATCGGACCATGGGAACGGGGGTTTACGGGGGGTTTTATGGGGTAAAAATAGGTTTTTCCCATTTTTTACCCAAAAAACATAAAATTTAGCAATTTCTTTCCAAACCATTTTGTAGAGCTTAAAAAAACAAATAACTTAGTATATTGAAGCGTTATTATGCGCCTAATTGTTACGGAGAAAATTCAAAAAAATTGTAAATTTAAAATTCCCATGTTATTCTTATGGAGAATAAGTAAACTGTTGTAGTTTGCTTGTTTGTGAACATATTTTGATCAAATTTGGAAAATGTTTTTATTTCTTACGAAACTATTCAAATAAAAAAAAACAAACAGTTTTACCCTCCCTGATGCAGCAAACCTAAGTACTTGTTAAACTAATTCTATTTAAATCAAGAATAAATGTTATATTTTTAAGTAGACATTTCAGTGTAAATCCAATCAGTCAAATGGAAATTCGCTTAGTCTGCAGGTTTGCTGCGGCGGGGGTATTTTTTGTTGCAGCTGCCAGCTAATGCTTCTTTTGGGCTGTGCCCACGAATACTTCAAAAGAAAATGGTTTTTACAATATTCGTCGTTGTGCCTTTGTGGCACATCAAGTTATAATCTAAATAGTAGCCTATTCTGGAACTTCAGAAAAGAATGAATGAATGAATGAATGTTTTATTTCCACATAATATATACAGAAAACAATGTCACACTTTTTAATACAAAATACTTACAAAATAAAACTAAGACGAATAATAAAAAAGAACATTTCTGTATAAACTAAATTAAATTGATTGTATGAAATACAGCAGACATAGGCAAGTGCTGCCTGTGCGTCTGCTGGGTTGCTATTTAAATCCAAATCATGTTATAACTATAAAATCAAAAGAATCCGCTAAAGAGAGCACTCTAAACAAATAGGAATTGACTGTTTTTAGCTTCAATACATTTATCAATTCGGTAGCCCTTAATATTCAATCAAATCATGAAAGATTGCCAAAATTTAACTCTTCATAAGTACTAGCAGCTTGTGTCACTTTGTGTCTTCAAAATACGTGATATTGATATATAGTTGACAAGCGAATATTTCTCATAACATACCTATTATTTCCATTGTGAGCTGTGTATTTGTGTACTGTATTTAAATACAGTGTTGGTAGTTATAGTCTTTATCTAGCAATAAAGCTAACACACAAACTTTGCATATTCGGTACAAAGTTTAAAGTCCGTTAATTCCTAAAAACGACAACTTAAAGGTACGTTTTGCTTGGAGCGACAGGTGCGACGGTCGCGCAGCGGCTGTCGCCGAGCGGCAGTCGCGGGGTGGTAAACTGTTTTGCTTGGAGCGACAACTTCTTCATCCTGGCATCACGAGACGTGGTACCGTCAGTACACCTAACCTCAAAAGTGCGCACTAAGTATAAAGTCACTAAATAAAATCGATAAATTCACTTAGTAAAACAGGTAAAACTTAACAAATAAAGTATTCCTTATAGGCCTAGTTATTTGTTATAAGAAACATTCCAAAACTGCCATGTCACAAGCCAAAATGTAATAAAATTACTCAATTTTTCCGTAAATTGCAGTACACACACAAGCATAACTTGAATTAGAAATCAGTGTGATAAACAACCTCCTCACAGAGTGAAAATTATATTTTATTGATTGTATTGTAAATGAATAAAATACCAATTACATTATATAGGTACTCCATTAATATTTGAATAACCACATTACTTTTAATAATTGGCATTTTATATATTTAAATATGACACGCCTGACTTTTAAGACAATTTGATCAATAACCATTTATACAGAGCAATATTTTTTTGAATCACCTAAACGATTATTTAATTAGAAGTCTTTTAAGTCGACAATCTAAATAATCTACTAATATATTAAAATAACTTGTAATATAATAAGACCAAAGAATAAAGGACAACGTCAGGTTTAAACTAACCTGACGTTGTCCTTTATTCTTTGGTATTTGTAGGAGATATGTTTCAAATCATAAAGCGCGGGGTATTTTGCCACTTCTTCTAATAAACTGTCGTACTCTTCACCACTAAAATTTAACTTAATCACAGACGTTGGCCGACGCCATATAGCGAAAATAAAAGGTTACCGAACTTGTCAGAATGGTGTACACTATAAAAACAATCAGAAATGTAACTGTCGCTAAGCGACTGTCGCTCCTGACTGGTCCTGGAGCAGTACCCAGCGACTGCAGCTCGCGGCTCTAGCGACAGTAGCTCCAAGCAAAACAGGACTATGCAAAACCCACTTTGATCAGTGTCCCGCGACTGCCGCTCAGCGACGGTCGCTGCGCGACCGTCGCACCTGTCGCTTCAGGCAAAACGTACCTTAAGTCCAAAACATGGCATCTTTTCAATCTACTAAACGCTGTTGTCTGTATTCTGTTTTGTTTATTTCAGCCAATCAATCGTTTTATTAATACTTATGAAGTCAAACGGGGTGAGGCCCGTGGATTACAGCTAGGTTTTTTTCTATATTGTGAAATGGTATTTGCAATCTGGGTGACGTCATAGTGACGGGAATGGTGGTGGAAGGAAAAAACATAGGTGTGCTATTCCCATCATATTCTGACGTCACTCGGATTGCAAACAAAAGATCACCTGATTGTAACTGTCAAATTAGTATATGTATTTGTTTTGATTTGGTTTTATCGTTTTGTATTATCATAATAAAAATTTTTATTATTATTAAGATTTGATTATTATTATAATAAAAACAAATACATAAATACTAATTTGACAGTTACAATCAGGTGATCTTTTGTTTGCAATCCGAGTGACGTCAGAATATGACGGGAATAGCACACCTATGTTTTTCCTTCCACCATGACTTGCGACGTTGCCAATTCTACCAGCGATGTACATAGTTATGATACTAGGAATAAGTTTGATATCTTTGTACCTAGAAATAGGCTTCAAAAATCAATGTGTTCTTTTCCTATTTCAGGCAAAGAGTTAAACTTTTCAACAAATTGCCCCAATGTACAAGAAAATTACACACAGAAAAATTCTCCACTTTTGTAAAAAATTGGCTCACTCTAAATCCTTTCTACCATATTTCCGAATTTTTCAACTGCGACAAAAGCAATTGGTGGACGAGCCCATTGTACTTATTGTATTTAATGGCAATAAAGACTTATGACTTATGAGGTCGCGGCCTGGTCGCCTTTAACTCCAGGCCGCGGCCTTCGAAGTGGCAACGTTGCAAGTGGTGTGTTGTAACAGCTGTTTTGTTTGGAAGCAGCTAATGGTATTTTTGTATTTACGAAAGATTGGTTACTGGACTATGACTAACTCCAATTAAAATGTACAGATATACATTTTTAATTTATATTGTTTCGGTTTTCAGTTTTGTATGTTTTAAATTTAATGTTTTAATAAATTTATGTTCATAAATTTAAATTAATAAAATTTCGAATTAATGAGCTGATGTCACCTGTTTGCAATGTTATCTTATGGGACGTCTGTCACTAAACAACACCACTTGCGACGTTGCCAATTCTACCAGGCCGCGGCCTGGAGCTAAAGGTATCTGATTCTGATGTAAACAAACCTGAAATTGAAGCTGTCAGTGTCAATAGTGTTATTCATTGCAGCAATAGCAAAAATTATGAGACCGCGTTTCCACCTTTTCTCGGATCAGGTCCTTCTGAGGGACAGAAAAATAACGACCAACCTACATGGAATCAGTGGCATGGTAAGAGATTTAAACATAAAACCCGGAAACAACCAATAATTGGGTCAAAGGTAGATGACATTACATGTAAGGTTAGGGCAGTAAGTAAACTGGAATGGATATTTGTGTCCAAAGTTAGTCCTAACTGTTCCAAAGATGACATTTGTGATTATTTGAAGACCTCTGGGGTTGTAAATGCTGAGTGTGTTGAGTTGAAATCTCGGTTCGGCAGGTATAAGTCCTTTAAAATCTGTGTCACTTCTGAACTAACATCTAAGGTGTTGTCACATACTTTTTGGCCTAAAGACATTCTTGTAAGGGAGTTCATTGAAAGGCAAAATACTCCTAGGACTGGGTTTTTCCCTTCTCGAACTTTTTTAGGGAAAAATCATTCATAGCTCAAAAGAGTACTGCTGCTAGGCCTATGATAAATCTTTGCACAATAAACATTCAGTGCATGCGAAATAAAACTATGTGAAATAAAACTAATGAAATCGAAATTTTAAGCCTTGAGAAGAACATTGATATTTTGTGTATTTGCGAGCATTGGCTCTTAAGTGATGAAATTCAGTTTTACAATACAGTTAGTAATTTAAAACTAGCAGCATACCGTTGCAGGCAGTCAGCTACTGGTGGGGTGGCTGTGTATCTCATCAGTAACAAACTTGCAGGTAATTATAAACCTTTGGACTTAAGTGGTTCTCTGAGGATCTCCAGGTTGAATTTGCAGGTGTAGTGCTGCCTAATTTTTCAATGGCGGTAATAAGCATGTATCGCTCTCCTAGTGGTAATGTATATCGATTTTTTGAATTGCTTGAACTTTGTCTAAGTTACCTTACAACCTTAGGCCTCTTTGTGGTGATTGGAACCGATCATAATATCAATTTGCTTAGCTCTGACAACCACGCGTCTGATTTTGTAAATTTGATGCAAACTTTTAATATATTCCCTTCAATCGTCGAACCAACTAGGGGTCCTGCATCTTTGGACACTTTTCTAACCAACTTGGACAGATGGGACTATGTGGCTGCGGTAAGTGTGGACAGTATTGCAGATCACAAGCATGTTCTGCTGTCGGTGACTACTCCGAATGTGGATCAACATCACCAGGCGTCCTCAAAAGTGGTATCCTTCAGAGTCTACAGTGAGGAGGCAGAATTTAAACTTAAAGAATACCTAGAACTGAATGCACATTTCTGGTTTGATGAAATCAAAGCATTGACAGCAAATGATGCTTTCATGTTTTTTCATGCCAACTTCAACATGGCCTTTGATCATTTTTTCCCAATAAAATGTAAAAAGGTGCATGTTGGCAAGTCAGGGGTTTCTAAAAATAATGGTTTGCCTGTTGTTAAGGACTGGTATACCCCTGAACTCTCTAGGCTAAAGAACATGATAACTTTAGTTAATGATTTAGTTAGTGTAAGACCTGATCTGTCTAACTTGCTTAAGCTGCTTAGAACACAATACCGTAAGAATGTGAGGGATGCAAAGATCAACTCAAATGCCGCATACATAACAGGGGCTTCCAATCCCTGTAAGGCGGCCTGGAATTTAATAAATCAAAATAGACCTCAAACAAAGTCTGATATTCTTGGTCCGTCTTTTGCATCTGCTGATGTATTCAATTCGTACTTTGTTGAGTCTGTTGAGTCCATCTTGTCAACCATTCCAAATATAACACAATCCTCTCCTGTGATCCTGTCAAGCATACCTAATGGTGCACCTACTTTTGAATGGAAACATGTATCGGTCCAAGACATTATTAATGCTGTTTTGGGCTTTAAACTCTCTAACAGTAAAGATGTGTATGGCATGACACACCTAATCTTTTGAAACACATTGTGTGGGCACTGGCACCTATACTAGCCCATTTGGTTAATCTATGCTTTTTAGTAGGTATTTTTCCTGCTCTATTCAAAGTCTCTAGAACTGTGCCTGTCTATAAAAAAGGGTCCCGTGACAATGTTGCAAGTTATCGACCAATATCGCTGATTCCTGTATTTTCTAAACTGTTTGAAGCTATTATGTTTGCTCAATTGTACGACCACCTTGAAGCACACAGCCTTCTGGTGCCTGGTCAATTTGGCTTCAGGAAAGCCAAATCCACTATATTGGCTGTTGATTCTATTGTACAATTAATTGTTGATGCTTTTGAGTCTAAGAAATCTACCTCCGTAATACTTTGTGACCTCTCTCGCGCTTTTGACTGCGTGTCACATGAAACTTTGCCCCTGAAATTGGGAAAATATGCCTAGAAGGCAGTGCTCTGAGATTGGTCAAATCCTACCTCAGTGATCGCCAACAGGTTGTAAGTTGGAATGGTATTACATCTAAATCGTTAGCTGTAAGACACGGGGTTCCGTGTAAGGTTCCATTATGGGACCTCTGTTATTTTTAGTAACAATCAATGACCTCTATACCAGACTTGAAGGTAATTGCATGTTGTATGCAGATGATACTTCCCTTATCATGTAAAGCGACCCGTGAACAAGCAGAGCTGTCTGTTAAGAAGATTTTTGAGTCAGCCTCAAATTGGTTTGTTGACAATAAATTAGTGCTCAATAATGAGAAAACACAGTACATAACATTTAGCCTATGTGATTCCCAGATTGTTCCTTTCCAAGAGCCTGTCAAAATTATAGACTCACCCAATGTTGAAAACATCCTGCGACTGCAAAAGAAGGCAGTAAGAATTCTCTGTCATGCTCACTATAAAGAACACAGTAAGCCCTTGTTTAAGAGACAAAGAATTCTGGCAGTTGTAAATATGTACATATTCCAATGCCTTGTTAGTACAGAACAGCATGAATGATTTACATGTAACCAGTTCAGTGCACAATCATGACACTAGGTATAGTTCTAAGCTTGTCATTCCTCGGTCCAGGACTGATAAAAGAGCTAGGTCATACCCTGTTTCAGGAATAAAACTGTTCAATCACCTTCCTCTTCCTGGTCATGTGAGAAATCAGGAAAGAAAGAACTTCCAAACCGCAATATTAGACTGGCTGATTGAAAATCCTTTTTTCAAATTTAAAGAGTTTTTTGAAACTGTAGTTAGTAAAGTAAGTTTTCCTCTGAACAGCCTGTTTGCTGTTTTTGCATAGTGCATGCATTTTGCATGAACTGCATTTGTTTGCTTTGTATCTTTTGTGCATGGTCTTGAACATATTTTTTTCACATGGTTGGTTTTGATCGATTTTTGGTTGGTTTGATTTTTAACTCTTGATATTTATTTTATTTTATGCTTGTACATTACGCTTGTACACTGACATAGCATGTAACAATGTTGTTGTTGATTGGCCAAATAAATTCATTGTAAGGTGGTGGTGGTAACTGGGTAAACACAGGGTACATATATTTTTTATTGTACAGCAGTAGCATTTTTAACGAAGTCAATACTTGATACTTGATGTCTTCGTCTTTGACCCAGCTTGTGGGATTGACTGAGTCAGATGGCTATTTCATTCCCGTGAATAGTGGGATTCCTTCAATACAAAATAGAAACGCTTTTAATGGAAAAGTGGTCCAAACCATTAACGTTTTATGGATGTGCCGGGAATCATAAATTTTCTTGGTATGATTAACCTGTTATCTTGCGATAATGTACCAAATTATTCCTATAGTGAGAAGTCTTTTTGTACCATTCAAATTCAAAAACAACAATTAAAAGACGTAATCCATAAATAGTAAATCACTCATTCATTTTTATAAAACACTGTTATTATATGTATAACATTTTGTCACATCACATAATGATACTCCTTGCACGTAACTCAGACTTCCACCGCCTCCTTCAACTTCTTCAACTAACTAACTTCAACCACTTGCAAATGGCGTCTGCCAAGTGTGTGAGGAGTCGGAACTTTTGGTAAAAAACACCGAAGAAGTTGTTTAAGGCAAATTTGTAGTGTTTCTTGTAACATTTAATCGAGTTTAACGTGTAAGTATCATATTTTATTTATTTTACAGTGTTGTTTTCTACGTTATTTATATTAATCTTTCTAACAAAGTCAATAAGAGGGATGGGCTAACTTTTCTTTTGAAAGAATTTGTGCTCACCAGTAGCTATATCTTCTCTATGACTTGTGGTTGATTATTGATATTAGATTTGTTTAATATATCACAAATATAATGTTTGTAATGTCTGCTATTTTGTTTTGTAATCAGATCCCTAGTATACCGGTAATGCAAACTTTTAAATGTCAAACTTACCGTAGCCTACCTATTGATAAGAGGGGGAGATTAAAGGTAGCCTAAGTTATCATTTAGGCATAAGATACTTGATAGTCTATTATGCTGAGAGTTAAGGGTTTGTAAATTAGTTTACTGGTTAAGTTGTTAGATGCTACATGAATAGGCCTATATCTGTAAATTGTATCAATTTCATCTTCGTACATACCTAGGACTAAGAATAAGTAATGAATTGTAATTAGCCTAATTTAATTTTGAGCTAGCTAAATGGTTGGTAACTTATTTGTTTACTTTGATAAGTAAATATCCATATTGTAAGTTGGTCAATCGCAAGCTTCAAAACTTAACTGCATTCATGGTCGTCAAAATCGTCATTATTCATGGTGAGACGAGTTGTCTCCTCTTATACATGTGATCCATTCAAGGACTTAGGAAAAATAGGGAGGATAGATATGGGTCTTAAGTTTGCGGGTTACGCCGAATCGCCTATTTGCATTAAGTGTTTTAAAGTAAGGTAAGGAAGGTAAAGTGTAGGTTGTAACTTAGTGAAACGAGCTGTTTAGCCTAGGATGTGCCAGAACTATTTGTGCCATTGAATTAACTTGGCTTCAAGCAACAAAACTATTTAAAAAATTCATTTTTTTAAATTTGTAGGCCTATTTTGTTGTTTAAAAAACAACATTCTGGATGTCACATGAATAAACAATTCGGTTTACTTACTTACAATCTACACTTAAACTTACCTGATCCAAACTTCAAAGGACTTGCACCCTAGAAACCACATAAAAACCCGGACTGTCTTTCTGTCATCACACCGAATTTTGAAATGATTCCGCAAGTTTGGCTAGGTTAGGTTATTTTAGAACAGGTTAATTTCATAATCAATAGGCCTAGATATTATTCTTGCTCTTGGTACGGTACCTATACAAGTAGGCTAGGCTTACCGTACTTAGAAGATACATGGTTAAACTAAATTAGGGCAAAACATGCTTTACCCTATCTAATCTACGGTAACACTTTACCCACTTTTTTTTATGAGAGCGCATATAATTTTCATTGCATAGGAAAGAAATAATTAGCCTAACTTTTTTGTTGTTTTTCTGATTTTCTGTATGTGTGATTTGAGTTTTCTGGAGAAAACAACAATCATTTTTGAATTCATGACGTATTTAGAATTTTTATATAGGTAGTGTAGAAAATACTATAACGTGACATCTGTGATCGATATAATCACTGTTAGTTTAGTTTATGAAACTGATGATATGAATACAAATTGATGTTTTTGTAATTTATCTCTTTAAAGAAGAAATTTATTAAAATAGCCTACAAACTTTTGTAGGATTTATAACTTTATTGAATAAAAACTATAGGCTATCCAATATGATATAAATTTTTATCTAGGGCTGAGAAGCTACACTTGGTTCTTTTCAGAACTGTACCCCTAAAGATTCAACTGGCACAGGACGGAATTAGAGTGATAGCGCCCTGCAAAGTTTGATGGTTCTAAAGAGATTACGATACATTATCGGATAACTTATTTGTTCAATATTTAAATATCATATCCGATATAGTTTAGGCTACATACGATATAAATATGGATTTTATGTTTTTCTAGAAAGGGCGTTTTTCAAGAACTTAGTGTTGAATGTAGACAATATGACCGATAGTAATATGTCCAGTGCTTTTTGGGATATTAGTATAATATGAAAAAAGCCCTTTTATAAAACCTGTATTTATTTATATTTATAACTTGAATATGTTATAAATAAGTTACCCTAACTATTTCAGATAGTCAGCAAAATGCCAGCAGTGCGTGGAGATGGCATGCGTGGTTTGGCAGTTTTCATATCAGACATCAGAAATTGTGAGTAGGCCTTATCTACAAAACTTTTTGGAATCATTATACCTAGGTCTATAAAACTCTAATCTCCTAAATGTAACTTAGTATGGCAGCATATTATTTACCTATGTAATATGATATCAAAATTGAATCTAAAATTTGAAATTTATCAAATTTTCATAATAAAATTTGATATGAGATTTGATTGAAAAGATTGGACAGTTAAATTTCATTTTTTCTGCAAAAGGTTGACTTTAACAAAAGTTTACTTAGCTCATGAAAAATCTGATGTTGAAATCAGTTTGCTTGGATTCCGTTAATTTGTATTTGATCACTCCTAAAATATTATATTAATCTATTATATTATTAAAGTGATACAATCAAATTTTATGTAAACGCTTAAGGCCATTTACCATATAAAAACATAGGCATATAGCATATCAAAATGAAGCTTAGAGTGTGTAGATTTGCCGAAAAGTATTGATATGGACGAATTCCCTAAGGGCTGTCCCCCACTGGCTGAATTCCAAAGGGCTACACCTTGCATGTTTTGGAAGTTAACATTATTCGATTAATTTAGTGAACAACAGCTGGCCAATGCAATTTACAATATAGTTTGTTTGTTTACATTTTTGTTTACTTATTTTTTATTTACTTTTATCAGGGTTGCCACCTCAGCCATGAAAACCTTGAAAAGCGTGAATTATGCGTGAATTTAGGTGACCATGAAAAAGTGTGTGAATTATGCGTGAATTTCGTCATTGGACCATGAATTCTCAAAATCATTATTAACAATTCAGCCAAAACCCCTAAATGTGCTGAATCAAATACTCCGTATTAAAACCATTCTCGAAATGAACACCGAGATAAAACGTCAAAGTGGGAGTGTCGAGATAAAAAGTTTTGTTGCCATGGCACGAACAGAAACGATTGCGTAGTTTATTCAAGGTCAAATCCGATCGCAACCGACGTCAGCCGAGTAGTCTAGAGATGGGAATTATCGTTGTTTTCCGGCAACGGTTAAAACGATAACGCAGCTGCCCAATAACGTATTGCGGCAACCTGTTATTTCAATAACGATTGCCAACTCGTTGCCGCTATAAACCGTTGTCCGCCGGTCGGTGTTGCTGTTGCGGCGTTCAGTTATCATTGTCGGTTGATCAGTTCAGTTTTCAGTTGTAGTCGGGACTCGGGAGTCGGGCGTTGTCCAGACAGGATGCGTTATTCTAGTTCGTTTCAGAAGTTATCGTTGCTCTGGTAGCGTTGCGGCAACGGCACTAATGGCAATGCATGTTTTCGTTTTCGTTGTCGCGCGGCTTTCCTGCAACATTGTGTAGATAGATACGTTATTATAATAACAGGGAGTTCTCTGCAACGTGTTGCCGCGATAACGTTGCCGTGGCCGCAACACTGTTATTCATCCTGTTATTCCTGTTATGTTATAACGCCCATCTCTACCACCGAGTTATTGTCTGTGCGAGTACCGATCTACCGATAAAATCGATGCTTTCGGAGCTAAAACATCGATCACATCGATGTTTGTTCCGAGTTTCTCGTCTGTTGTCTGTTCTCTGCACTGTAACAGCCAATTAACCTAAAACCAATACAATTCAGTTACGGAAAACATCAATATTTCATATTTCATTACTTTTGTTGGCCTAAAAGACCGATGTAACAAACCAAATCATCGGTTCGGTAATCTACCATCGATGTAAACAAATAACTTCGAACATCGATAGAAAAGACATCGATGTTTTGAAAACATCGACAATCGGAATTGATGCTCGCTCTCATTCTCTACTCTCTACTCTAGTGTTCATGTGGAAGGAAATACAGAGTAACCATAACCTAAAAGTTTTAACTGATCTGAAACTTAGAAACGAGTCAAACGTTTGAAGTTTGAAGTAGTGGTGGACACTGGACAGTAAGATCACTTGTTGCTCGTGATTCAGTTTTGTGCTTCTTATAATTGATTACCCAACACTCAGTGGAACAAGTGTTCAGATTAAATATTTTTTATTACTGATATATTATACTTCCGATACTTTACAACGTTAAAATAAGAAGTACCTTGCCTTGCCATAAAGGTCAAAATGGCTTGCGCTGGCTGGAACTTAATCGTCTTCTGTGTTTGTTTTGGTCAAATATGTCGTCATTTCAAACTACTGTCAGTGTTGAGTAAATGTGTTACAACGTGAGTTATTTATTTAGGCCTAAGTTGCAAGAAGTCAATGTTGTGCTGAAAAATGGTGATTTCGTTCTGAGGAAGGTAAATGTAAATGTTTTGTTGAAGCATATAACTAGGTGTTTTCAGTCAATACGAATCTAACTAAGTTTTTAATGAGATGTAACTTAAATTTAATTAAATAATTGTTTTAACTGTGATTTAAACCTGTGTAGGCAAATAATAATATATAAACTGATCCAATCTGAAGAAACATCCTCCTAACTAAGTTTATTTTAACCTTTTCTGTAATGTAATTAATTATTTTTTTATTACTTAATGTAAGTTAGCCTATGTCTAAACTTACATACATTCCATTACTTTTGTTTCGTTCTTAGCTTTAACTAAATATTTATTTACATAATCTTACCTTTTTAGAGTGTTTTTATCAGTCAGTCGGTAACCTTAAATCTTCTCAATAAATAAAAGTTGGTTCAGGCCTAACTTAGCCAAGATTCAGTTTTGGATTACAATGTAGGCTAGCCTACTGTGTTACAGTATAAAGTAATAAATTGCATGTGCGTTTTAGTAGGCCTAGATATGGCCCATTCATTACCAAGTTAACCGTTTCTTGATCATGTTCTTAACATTTGTTTTTATAGTAGCCTATTATCTTAATTTGATGTTTAGACAGTAAAGTTCTAGGCCATTGCTGGATTAACTAAGTTAAACCTTTTATGTTTGGATGCAATGTTTTTTAGGTTAGGCCTAGACCTAACTACCAATCCGACTTATTTTTTTATTTATTATTTCTTCTAACGTTTGAATTTATCATTAGGCCTATGATGTTGTTAAATCAGATGTTTCAATTTTTTTTTAATAATTACATCTTATTATCACACACAAGATTTTTATTAATCCTTTTTCATCTGTGATTTTACTTTTTTAGACTGGATAAATTATTTTAAATTCTTATTTTTAACTCTAAAATAAACACATGAAATGTGTTTTATTTGATAGTAGCACACAAAACTATATATTGTCGATAAATTAATGTACAATTCTGAACTAGGCAACACTCTTTTATGGTGAAATTGTGCGAGCATATACCCCATGAATTTTTCAAAACTACCAATGAAAACCTTGAATTATGCATGAATTTTTTTATCTCACTTTGGTGGCAACCCTGTTTATGTTCTTAAACGAGGTGCGGTGAATGGACAGTGAAGCTTTTTCTAGCTGTTAGTTACAAGTAAGTGATTAAGGTGTTCGAAACACGATGAATATGAGATTAACAAACCATATATGTTGTTCGTTCCAAGAGGTTATCACCGATCTTTAACATCAGGTCACCAATTAATTGAAAAATATTTAAGTAAAGTATTAAAGACGTTGTGAAAGAGAGCGGCGAGGTCAGATACAACCGTACCCACCTCGGCCACCTTAGACGTAAGGTATGAAGGTTCCACTGCCTTTAACATCCTTTCAGATGACAATTTCTCGAACTTGGGCCCTTTAAATGAAATGGGGAAATTCAAAGTTGATTAAATTAATTTAGACTTCTGTTTACCCATGAATTCGTGGGTAGAACCTCTTGTCTATGATTAAAATGATTGTTTATTTCTACATTCGTTTTATGTTTCTATAACACCACAAATAAATTTCCACCGTTTCTGTAATTAGGCTAGCTACAATTTTATAATGTATAGGGCCTATATTTTTAAGAGACCTAAGTACAGTTATTGAAGAATATTATTTTAGTACCGTAAATAAATGATATACCCTTTAGATTTAAAACTATTAAAATTATTAAAACAAACAAACAGTTATTGTTATACAAATATATCAAATCCAAGTACCGGTAGCTTTTGGCAATGCACATTCGTTAAATCATGTGTCATTCATGTAATTCATTAAATGTGACATTCATTAAATTAGTGTCATTGGAATGGAACTTTATAATTCATTAAGGAAATAAAAACATGTTTAATAAAACATACACTTTATTTACAAGGTATTATATCACTCACCATTTGACATGTACTTATTCAAAAATACATTACGATATTAGAGTTCCTGATATTCACAATTTTTCTACTGACATACCTTTTTCAGTTTTTTCTTTGTCATTCGTAATTTTTTGTCTGTTTAAAAACTTTATCCTCATTATTATTCTTCTTTGTACAAATAGCTCGATAATGTCTAGAGGGAAACAGTCAACTTGATCATTTAATTTCTCCACAAGGCGTTTCTTCACATTAGGGCCTTAAAAATCTTAAATTTAAATTTGTTAGAATTCCTTTTCTAAAATCTCAACTTTTTCCATGAAATCCACTGTTGTTTCTGTTAAACCCCCTTAGGAATATCTCACCCATCCAGGTTGATGTTTTTTTCGCGTTGGTAGGTAAAATTTCCAAGATTAGGATAGGCCCTACTTATTTCTGAACTTTTTGGCTATAGTATACATTCTACAATATAGTTAGTCCATCTTTCGATACACAATCTTCCAAACTACTGTATCCTTTAACAACTCAACTGATTCCTTCTCATCCACATAACTTTTTTCATTCTCTTCGTAGTCGAAGGGCGCCTTTATCTCTTGGTCAATACTGCATGATACAGAGCTTTCTCTTAAAACTTTCCCAATTATGAATTCATCTGACGTGTTCTCAGTATTCACGTTACTCCTAACCGTACCCGTGTTCTTCTCAAAACAATCATGCACATTCTATACAATCATTCCATGGTGTATTTCTTCCCCCACCCTCTCTTATTAAGGAAACAAGATTTTCCAAACTATCTTGATTTAGCTTGGATGTTAAAATATACGTTATTTTATCATTACATTTCAAGTCGTCAT